GTCATCATATCCAGAAACGAGTCCAGCTGGCGTAGCGACAACGCGTTGTGCAGGGTCTCCAGGGGTCTGATAGGCGGCACCCCGCCAAAGCCTTCAATCGCTGCCGGCAGACACAACAATCACTTCCATTCTATTTACTTCACCTATCAGCTGACAAAAAAGTTAGTCGAATTTTCGTCGTTTTTTTTCATCGTTTTTTCGTTACGATTATTTCGCATAAATTTCGACCGTTTATGTGGAAGAGGTGTTAGTGGTTTTAGCGAAACTATTCAGAGGCCTGGAAAAAAAAACCGGAAGTCTGTCCCCGCGCGGAACTGTCCTACGCTGAATGTTAAATGTGAGAATTACTCGTATATATCATCAGATCAGATGTATTCACCGAGTGTTTCATTGATTGAATGGTCGCCAGTACTCACCGGCGACCGCCGATGCGTGCGGCGGCACCATGTCTTTGAGATTCGGCGCGCTCGAGGAGCCACTTATTACGGCAGTGCTGAACAGGCTGTTGGCCGAGCCGGTGAGCTTCTTGCTGACATTGTAGCCCAACAGCTTGAAATAACTCATCTGTCCGGAGATACTGTGACGGTGGCGCCTTGCTGTGCAGGCAGGATCAGGTTGAATGATCCGAGGTCGCGTGTCTAGGGCGGGAGAAGAGGGATGAGGATTCGCACGGGTGTTATGGACGAGGGACTTTTGGATCGCTGACAGATAGTGATGACGATTAGCCTTGTAGGACTTGGTATTATGACAATGAACGTGAATGATGTTACATAAGTAGTGTCTAACTTTATTAAAGCCGGCAGAGAAAGAGAGAAAGATCGGCTACGAAGCTCTAGGTCTCGTCACGGCAGGCTCGTGCTCATGCCCGTGCTTACGTTTTCAGGAAGAGAAAGAAGAGACATTGATGCAAGAAGGAAGATAGAGTACTAACGAGCAAAGCGAATCGGGTGGTGAATATAGGACCGTTTCCCCCCAAATCTTAATCAACGCCGATCGTTGATCAATTTTCTGTCTCGAAATCAGAGACAGAAAATTAATCAAGTTTCGGTTAAATTATTTTCATTAATTATTCACATTTACGGGAATGATCTACATTGGGACTGTTGGATAAACGAAACCGACGACGATTCGCATTGAAAGACAAAGCTAATTATGAAATAAACGATGCAAAACTAATTCGTTCCACTAATTATTCTACCATAGAAAATTATATTCGCGCGTGCGTGTGATCATTACCTTGCCTACAACTTTAACTCACCGTATTAATTTTTTTTCAATCCGAATTTGAAGGCATCGATACAATTTCGACGAGTTCGGGTTTATAGAATTGATAGAAGAAAAAAAAGGTAAATTACTTATTATGAAAGTCGGATGAACTAGTCAAGTTTATCTTCGGCGTCAGATATTGAAAATGATGAAGCAGCGCATGAAAAAGTAATTCACATAATTTGTGTCATTAAATGTCATCAATTTTATTCCTTTAGTAGAGAAAATTCTCACTGACGCCGACAAGTGGGACCAAACTACTCTTCCGCGCGCCACCCTGCGCGTCGAGAGGCCTCTTCGCGAGGAAGACGCCTCGCGTTCGCTGTCCTTGAACTCACCGCAGATCTGGACGGGTCTGAGCAAGGTCACTTCGGAGAACGAGCGTTCGTACTTTCTGTCGTGGCACGGTCGCCACCTGTACTCGGTGACAGTCCGCGAGCCGCTAGAGGACGACGAAACGTGCAGCGAGCTAGAGGTGATTGCCGCGGGTGATGGCTGTCTACCGTCGCGCGCAGTGCACGTGGAAGCGAAGCTCTCGTTCGACGAAACCGGCAGCTCCGGCGAGCTGTACGACTGCGATAGCGCCACCGGTTTTCTCGGACACGTGCACATCCGCCGGTCGTCACGGCATTTCCTCGGAGTCGGCTCCGCAGCTGGAGGGGGGGAGGGGAAGGGAACGATGCGGGTGCGACGCGGTGCGAGGCGTGGGAAAGGTGCAAAATCGCGCAGACATATACAGATCCGGGGGGGGGGGGGGTTGGCAGCGTTACCAGACGGGGGTGTGCAGCATTCGGAATGTCGGTGTAGTACGGGAAGGGACAGAAGAAAACAAAAGAGAGAAAGAACCGATTAAAAAACCCATTTGCCGAAGAAACGAAAGAAATGGGACGAATCTTTGATGTTCTTACTTTGCGATTCAAAAAATCAAATAATGTTAAATTCACAAGACAATGCACTTTGCAACATATTTTACTTTTGTAGTTTTTTTCTTTCGTTTTTTTTTTTTTGAGTATGTATATTACGGAGATTTTAAATCTATAATGATAATATAATTAATAACAATAATATATATTATATAAACAACCTTTCTGAACCGTCAAAGGCTTTCGCGCTATTATAAATACTACGCTGAAATCGATAACTTCGTAATCTTGCGTTAAATAAAAAATGCTATATTAGGAATAGTTTTCGACATTCCGGCGTTTCTATAAAGATTCGTCTCCGAGGAAGAAATAAAAAGTAAATTAAAGGGAAGCGTATACCTTCGATCCTTCTGCGCATACTTTAGCGAGTACGTTCGGATTCACGAGTACGCACACCACACAACAACGTGGCACACGATAGCCATGCAACCAGTAAGCCAACCAAATCACACGATTTTTACATATAGACAGCTTTGTTACACATTAATTAGAATGCCGGAACTCTAACGACATTAGTAATACGTGATGATTTATGTATGAATGAAGACGAACGGGGTGAAGATGTTACATGCTTTGTGCGAGCTGTGTTTATTCGGAAATGAGAAATATTACGTTGGCAAGAAGTTCGATATGCATACGAATTATCGTACGTAAATATCTTGTCGGTGCACACAAGATCAATATAAAATTTGTTTTGTGGCCGGTTTGTTGCAAAATTGATTCTTTGAATTTTATTTATTACCGAAGAACACATTTTAAATATTGAAAAATTGTTTGCGTTTTCTAAGGCGATAAACAAGGAATTAGCAGTATTAATTTTTATGATCTTACGTTTTATTTAATAATAAATAACACTTTTCTTGAAAATTTTTATGATTGGTGCAATTATGCTCCTCACTATAAATCTGTGAAGATGAGCGACAGTGAAAGATGAAGACACGATGACTACGAACTGATACGAAATCAAATGAGTTCTTTTTTTAAGGAAAAAAAAAAAAAAAAAACTGATAAATGTCGATGGGATGTCAATCGATAAAGATTAGTCTCTTAAAGTCTCGTCGAAAGAGTTCCAAGATGTGAAATTTGATGACAAATCTTGAATGCGGCTCGCGATATGCGTAAATCTACGTACATATGTGACACATGAGACTCCTCGGAAAGAGTCGGTGATGAAGATGCTACGATTCTCGTGGATCTCGTGGGGAGAGAGAGGATTCGGGAGAGGCAACTGAACGAATCACACCGTGTCGGTGTGACCCGGACAATCGCCGACACTTGATTAGTTGGCTTCCACGCGCACAACTATCGCTGAGCAAAGAGTTATTTCAACTGGGAATCACCGTCTCCTATTCTGGCTTTGGCAAAATACACAACTCTCGGCTATACTACATGAAACAAGATACATTAGACTTTTCCGGATAGATCGCCCCACCGGATACAGATTCACCAGACTTGTGTACTTCGTCCGGTATTCTAAAGGTATTTCTAACCATGGAAAAAAAAGACATTTAAAAAAATGTATATCACAATTTTTTTCCTCGCCCTACAGTACGTGCGACAGTACTTTTTCAGAACTGATTAAAGTAAAGTAAAAAAAAAAAAACAGTGGAAACACGGAATACAAAACTGAAAACACAACGTGAAAAAAATTAATTCGGGAGAAAATCAGTATACTATAAATTAATATACACTAAGGAAAAAGGATTAGATACATTAGAAACTACAGCTACGAGGTAAAGTAGCTACGTGTAAAGTAGGGAGAATCAGCGGTTACTTTAATCAGCACTTTGAAGTACCGATTGTGTGCGTACAAAGCGCATTCCTGGTATAACGATTATGCACATACTAATTGCAACGAAAATAAAAATAAACTATTTGCTTCATGTGGACATCAGCACAGTGCTATACGTTGGGCAAGATACAATATTGTGGTATAACTATGTAAACCAGTCTCTGCTGCGGGTCAACAGAATCGTTTCATTGCAACGTGTGCATAAGAGTTTCGATAAATATTTAAAAAAAAATTGTATTCGAATAAAAAAAAAAAAAAAAAATAAATAAATAGAATAATCTACTCGGCACAAATAAGAACCTTCTTTAAAGATTGGTAGCCGATAAACATACCTTCTTTGTTGACCGCGTCCAAGCTCTGATACTGCAGCTTGTCCGCAGCTACAAAAAGAGATAGCAGAACACAGAAAAGGGCATTCCACCATCAATTCAATTGTCAATTAGCCCTAAAAGCTCTACGTCACAGCCCGGCGTCCTTAACGTTTTTATATATTAAATTATGTCATTATGTTTACTCTTTTGAAGAGAAAAAAAGTATCTTTGTATTCTAATATCATGAAGCATACCCAAGCCCAGTTCTTTTGCATGCAATATTTTGTAGATATGAAGCAAATTGACGATATTTTAATCTCTACTTGTTTTGTGATGGATGACAAGAAAAGATGAATGTTACATTTAACAGCGTTTCCACTTTAGAATTTAAAATAAATGCACTAGTTCTTTAGAATATTTTATGTTTTGAAAAACTGATGTCTCAGTTTCAAACTGTGAAAGTTAATCGTTTATCAAACTATCGATTTGTAAGTTTAAAAATATCGAGTACCAAATAAAAAAAAGCAGCTAAATATCTTTCGTTGATCACTACTTATGTATCGGAAAAAAAGAGTTTGTCGTGAAAATACAGTTTTATGGTATAAAATTGCTAACATTTAGGAAACAGTGTACGGCATTCACGTGTAGTGTATAAATATCGGCAGGTGTATCGGTAGGATCACAGTGTGATATAAAGAAAACCGGCTATAATAATTAATAATTATAATCATGCACAAATTATTAATCATGTTAAGGATACCGTGTACGAGGTTATGTACATATTTCATACACTCATTGCGTATGTACGCATATAAATCAGCTCGTTAACATTGCAATCTCGATCGATATCGCGCGTTCATTAGCATCCTTCACACTTACTTCAGCTTATCAGATTTACTCACTGATAAGAATAATTTGCACATTAAGATGCACATACCTTTCTCGGACTTTTCTTGCCGCTGATGATCGTAGCTTCGCGCGCGCGGTTCCACGATGGTTCCACCCGTCTCTCTGCTTCGCCGTTGCCGTTGACTCGCTGCCAATTGACTGCTGAGCCTGGCGGCTTCGTGTCCAGCCACGGTTCTAGCACTAATGCAAGATAAATTTTCATTCTTTTTATACCATTATTTGTGAAGAAATGAAAGATGTTTTCGTGTGTCCTGAAGAAAATCGCTAAACACATGTAAATCAAACATTCACAAATAGCAAACCTAATAGGAATCGGCGCTGAGCTCTGTAAAAATCCGCTGTCATATGGTTCGTCCATCATATTCGGATCCAGATCCATCATGTCAATTGCGCGACTGGTCGTCGGACTGTCCAGCATTGAGTCCACGGCGTCGGATTCAACTAATGGTGGAGGTGTGTCCTTAAAAAAAATCGTCAATTTTTTATCTATTGTATCGTACAAAAGCATACTTAAGTGGTTAATAAATAAACCTCATTTTTAAAAGTTACAACATGCAACATAAACTATTATACTCACAGCTTGTGCCGCGGGATTTACAATTTCATCCTCCATAATTCCCAATTCCGCATCCTCCTCTTCTATCCGAGTGCTGCATTGCGAACTGGTATCCTGACCAGAACCACCACTCTCCCCCTTAAAACAGAATCGACACAAGATCCATTTATTTGCATTATTCTTCAATTTTGCAGTCAATCTACACACTTACCATATTATGGCTGCTCTCATTCCGCGAATGTGGCCTGAATCCGGGGCCAGGCGGCAGATTCTTTTGCACGCAGCAGTTGACGCCGGGACTGAAGTGTAACTCGACGTGGAAACGTTCCTCGCTGCTTGGATCCTTGGTCGGGTCCTCGTACAGCATAACGACGATTTGCGACATGTAATTCAACTCGGAGACCATACTGACGTATTCCATCGCGCGTCGCCACTGCTCGTCTTTCACCACCTGTGAATAAATCAGCGAAAAATTCGAAAAATAAAGTACAAAATTATTTTTCAACAGTAAAGTCCGTGTAGAGAGACGTCTTAGCTTGTATAAATTTTATTTGTTAACTACTTGTGTACTTACATCAAGTAAGCCGCCATAACGCAACACAGTAAGCAAGGAATGTACGTGGCTCTCACTTGTGAAATATAATCTCGTACGCACATGGCGCCCAGGGCTCGAAACACCGTGGGAATACCTATTGATCATATCAGTTGTTATTATTGAATCGAAAGAAAATTTCCAATTAGCAAAGCTCTATATTTTTGTACCTAGGATTAAGCCTGTTGACGGTCTCTTCAGATTCCTCGATATTTCGTTGCAGATCAGCTCGTATCTTCTTTAGCAAAGGTGTGCAAATACCTTGCCCGATAGTTAATTTCTCTTGAACCGTTAAACCATATTCCTGCGGATCGATAAATAATTCATATTAAAGAAAAAAATAAAGCATCGGTAGAAATATTATTATAACGCCGAAAAGAAAAAATATACCTGAGGAATTACTATATCCGCCAAAGATTTAGCATACGTGTACAATTCTTCCGCGTGTTCAAATTGCAACGTATGATTATTGTGCTGCAAGTCATACTTTATGCAATCGTAAATGTCGGGAATTTTCGAGATGTCGAAGCGCTTGTTCTTCGTGCAGAAATCCTTCTCTATCTTCCCCCAGCGGCGTCCCATTAGCTCCCACGTTTCGCCGTGGTAAAGTATCGTGTCCTTCGTCTTCGGATCTTCTTTCTTAATGCGCACGATGTCCAGAAGTTTCTGGATGAGACTGTGAACGTGCTGGCAGCACCGGACCGGATTCTTGACGAAGTCTAAAGCCGCATTGATGCTCAATGCGTTTCCTGGATTGATTTGTTCCCGATCCTCGCGAGTGAACTCCCTGTCCTGTTGTAGCAACTCGTGCAGACGTGTTTTCACCCTGCAGTCACAAATATTGCATTGCGTAAACGAAAAGTTTTGACTCGGTTCTAAACATACACAATGTGATTTCTGTACTCACATGTTCTGATACTTGCTGCTGTCGCAGTCGTTGTCCAGAAGGCCGTTGGTGTTCGCACTTTTCACCATTTGCACCAGAATAGGCGTCAGCTCGCCCTCCAGCGCGAGTAATCCTTTCGCGAAGGCCGCCGCGGTCATCTGAACGCGCCCCTCGTCGCTAGCATAGATCTTCAAATCATGGCGAAATGTGGAATGCAGACGTAACAAACCCAGTCCTTGCGCACCTGCGTATTCACCTACGTTTAAACAAGGGGGCTGATATCAACACAACGGAGAGGTCCCTCGAGAAGCAACAATGAGCATAGAACACAACAATAAAACAATTCAGAGATTAACTCGAAAAAAGAAAAGAAAAGAAAAAAAAAAGAAAGTAAACTGCTATCGAGATGACCTATGCTCTGGTATGGAGATCATCGTAATGTCATAAAAATATTTTAATTAGTATTAATTGTATTAATCAATGTTGCACATGATATTGCAACGTATGAGATACCTTCCAGATGTATTTTCATGTCTCTAAATGTTTTAGAGTTACCTTGAAACTCCTAGTTCGGATTTCAATGAAAGATTTTCATGAAAACATATATTGTACAGTGCGTGCATGTTTTGTGTTAAAAATAAAGTAGCATCCAACGTGTCGTGGTGTTGTATAGTGCTATTAAAGAACCAAATTTTACGGACATCTATCGGCGTAGAAAAGCGTGTAGCGAGCAATTAGTGTGATATATACAACGCTAAAACGCATGCTACTCCCGAGCTGCCGATAACTCGTCTCTCGGTAGCTCGAGCGTTCAAATAAGGAAAAAAAGATTCGAAGTGCAAGTGTACACTCTTACTGTTAGCGCCGTCGATTCTATAACATCGCTATTTCTAAGGATAGCAAATACAATCTAAGAACTATGAAATAAGCGTGGATCGTAAATAAAAGGTTACCGTGGCTTGGTAACATCTCTGTTTCTTCCTCTGAAATAACATTTGAGATCAATTATCCTAGATGTGACTCGAGAGTATTTACTACATTTCACTACTTGAACTACTAGTTAAGATATGATTGCCAATGTGGTTGTTAGTGCTGCAGCTACACTATTACTCTCGCATTAAACTCGAATCAATCGCACGTAAGTACCTTTGGAATCTCTCACGGTACAAGATATGGCGAGATATAAACAACAATTTCAATATTTGATCTGCCGATCTCTAAGCCGTCCAAGATATTTTTCGCAACTTGTACAATACAGCATTCTTAAGATACATGTGATAATAATAATGCATACTTAAAGCCTAGAGGCTTTCCGATTACGTAGTCAATATATAATTATATATAACGTATAATATATATAATATATATATTTTCGGATAAATCCAGACCAAGTTCAGCTAACAGAGAGAAATCATTTGTAAAAGTGATCTCCGATACTGCATAGAAACTTAAAAGCGGGCATGGCAAGCATATGAACATAAGATACGAACCACTAAGGTGTCTACCTTGACCACCGGGGTACATGCAGCGGAATATGCGTCCCAGTTCTTCCGCTTGAATACGTCCAGCTGGCGTCAATTCCCCGCCCCACTTCAGTATCAGGACGAGAGATGGTTCCCCAAGTCGATCTGAAAGAAAGAAAATTGAAGAAGTACGCACATTTCTGTATATACTCTTTTTTACATATATATATATGTCTATCTATTTCATTAGATAATTTTATATGAATCTTAAATATTTATATTATATAATACAGATATTTAAAAGTCATGTAAAACAGTAAGAAAATGTGGCATACTAAGATCGCTACCGTCGTCGGAAGAACTTCCTCGCGGTCGCCCCCGCGGTTGATACTTCAACTGCACCTTGCGATTTATTCCAGAAAAATGTCCGTACCTGCGATATACAATTAACAATCTTATTATAAATTTATCATACACAATTTGCTCGATAATATAACACTATTAACAATTAATCTAATTAGCTGCGCTACTGTTGCTCCTTAACATACATTTCCAAAACACTCTTCAGCTGCTCCAGCTTTCCCTGCTTTTCTTCCAACTCGGGTCCCGCTGCGCGATGCTGTATCTCGGCTAATAAACTACGTGCTGTATCGAGAATCTCTTGCAGTTGCTTGGGTCGCTTCAGTTTCACATGGCCGTGCTTGTAGCCGTCGTACTTTGAGAATATCTCGAAAAATCTGTGAAATAATGTGTTTATTTTTAACTTGTGGAATTATCTTCAATAACAATACGCAAGATATTTTACACTCACTTGGGATGACGCACTTCCACCTTCATTTTCTGCTTTGGCGTTCTGTCGCCGTGTCTGATAACCGCCACAACGCAGCGCAGCTCCATCCTAAATATTAAAGTTTGCTTAGTAATGCGCGAGAGACTTTAATATTAATAACATCATATTCTTTATACTTGAACTGTCACTTGTAAACTAACATTTTGCCGAATGTAGTTGGCACAATGGGAGGATCGTCCAACTGAAAGGGAACGCTCCACGGAATGTGTAATGTGGGTGCCAATTCCCTCAGTATCATATTCCCCAAAATCTTGGCACAGTCATCGTAATACTTATTCGAGTTTTTTACAAAACTAAATCCATTCACGTCGCACACGAACGACTGACCGTTCGCTCTACAAATAAAAAAACATGCGTCATATTAACCGCATTTGATTTTCAGCCACTTACGCAAGCCGCGGTACGATCGCCGGCGTCAATACTGTTTACCCGACTGAAGTCAATTCGTCGTGTCGCAGGAGCAGTCAAAGCTGAATTGAATATGTAACGCGATACGCGCTCTAGAGTAACATTGATAATTGTGTCGGCTATTGTGCCGTCGACAAGTATACATGACGCGGTATAATATTATAAGATACCATTCAAAATAAGTTCTACGTGAATAATGCATTTTTAACGCGCAGAATACATTATCGTTTACAATAAAATTACGGAAGAAAAAGTCAATTATCGATTTTTCGTGTTCACCCGCCGGTCGCATTGCAATGACATACCTCAGCAAATCGAAACCGCACACCGTTTGCTTGAAAGCCAAACACACTTTTCTGCTAATAAGTTTCTCGGCATTGTTCAGTATCACCGGATAACGTATCTCCTTGCCCTCTGAGTCTCTCTCGACTTTGCCGTCGAGTGCCGGGCTCTTTCTCGCTTCGGCGTGTGCGTAATCAGGTCCCACGGTGTAAACTTTAACGTCGGTGCCATCGGTGGGCATAAAATCTTCGTAGATATAAGAACCACTCTTGCGGACGCGAGATTCCGGCGAATATACGCTACTACGACTACCTATCTGTAGAACAAAATATTATTGTGAGTATTTACAATCTTCAGTTTACTCCTTAAGATAAAAATCAACAATACTTTAAATTTGCGAAAGTATCTTATATACAAAATAAAACAATATACCTTTCTAAATAATCTCTGACTACCGCCTCCAGCCGAGGTAGGATAATAAATGTAAATGTTGTGATCTTCAGCCGATACTGGTTTCTCCACGAATGGCTTGTTGAAAGTAATACCGTTCACCTCCACGTGATCCTCCGATTCCACCAGTTCGTGCTCTGAGATACATTTTACGTTTTGCATAAAGATTAAATATATGAGGGTATTCATAATTATTTGAGCAATTTTAAATTTCTATATCGCAGAGAATTGAATATCTGCAATGCAACTTACAGCATTTGTAAGAAACAAATTTTTTAACTCACGTTTTGGGTCCAGTGAATCTCTGTCAAGTACGGCATACCGTGGAATTTCGATACCCTCGCTCTCCAGTATGGCGTAAACTCTTCGCCGGTCCTGTGATGATTATCTTGTATATGACGTATGTAATGATTTGCATTTGTAATATTAAACATTTACATACCTGGATGTCATACTGCATCGGAAGATTGTTAATGATAAACGGATTACGTAAGTTCGCGTAATTTATAGCTTTATCAAGAGGGAAGCCTTTACTGTGGAAACTTATCAAGCAATCGACTATAGGCCAATTTTCAACAGACTCCTATAAATACAAATGCATGAGACGTGGAATTCAATTAACTTTTTTTGATATAAATTTGATTTACCTTCAATATCACTTCTTCCGGAAACACAACAATTTTGATATACTCGAATTCCTCGAGCCTCGTTAAAATCTCTTTCATCGGCTTACTCTGCGATTTCTTCGCCATTGCGCATATCCCGACCAGGACTTGCTTTCCTTCTCCTTCCGCATCGCTACCGCTGTAAGCATCATCTTGGGTGCAACCTTCTGGCAATTCAGGCTAGAAATTGAAATAGACGATAAGTAACAATTGCTCGGGAGAAAACGCACATAGTGTATACACGTCATATCACGATACGATGCTTAATATTAACAAATAAGAAATAATCGAAAAAATTGCGTATATAGAACTTGAAATTAAAATCACTAACCGCACATCTTGCCTTTTAAAAAATCATTGACAGTTCCAAGTTGAAGAATGTTATAGTTTGACATGTTTTACAAATGAGTGCGAAGCTCCTAAATTCCGAAATTAACAAGCAGTGACGAACACGTTTAAAATCTTCAAACTAAATGGTGCTCACCCAGTATGCCTTTAGGCAGGATAGAAATCTAGGCTTGTCGTCGGCAGGACAATTTTCATTGCGAGCTCTCGTAAGATTACTCATTATGTACTCATTACTCTTTAGTGTGATCTTTCGATAAGTAAGTTACACGTTGATCGCGTATGTTTTATTGCCTACATAGAAAGGTAATACATATCAAGCAACAAAGCGTGAAACATGTAAATTTGACAGTGAAGAATCACGTATTTTTTATATTTGTGTTTCACTGTAAAACTTTCGTTTACCTACACACGTTTCTGTTTCTACTTATTTTTGTATTCTTATTTCACTATTGCTATTTCACTGCGATTCAGACTAATATGCGATACTAGTCATGCAGCAAAGCAAATTGAAGTATGACCATTTGTTAATCGCTGTTATAAAACATAAGAAACCGTTTCATAATAAAATATCTGTGGACAGCTAGCTGAAGAAACTAAACTTATAATAAACCTACCTTCACTTCTTATTATTATTCACAATTTATATAATAAATAAATACAAAAAATATTTTATTTGTGAAAATTTTTAAATGACTGAATATCTAATAAGTTACCACAGAAAATTATAATAAATACCGTTTTCAATTAATATTACAAATGTAGTTTTGTTTCTATTCAATTATAACTGATTATTATTTCTGTAATTAATAAAATGTAAGTAAAAACATGTATAACTCCTGATGTAATTATTTCAATGTTAATTTTAAATACATTTTTATCGAAATATAGTACATAAAAAAATGTTTAAATTTAAAAAATATATACTTTTACCTCAACAATGGAAATAATTGTAATTTCAAGAACGTTAATTGATAAACTACTGGTATTTTACTTCTTATTATCTGCAACTTCAGTTGGTATCTAATCACAAAAATAATCAAACCGAGATTATAGTAATGCATAATGATAAGAAGATAAAATAACAATGATCAATCCTGCTTCCAAATAACACTTAGCGTTATAACGTGACTTACAAAATACCATTCATATTTAACAGCATGTTCAGAAACTTTTAAAGTAATATAAAAATATAATATATAGTGTTATCTTCCAACAGAACAGTTTGTAACAATTGTCTAATAATTTACAGTTTCTAGATTTCAGAATTATTTATTTGAAACAATATGCAATGTCTATCCAAGTTATATTCATGCATTGTTAAAATAACACACAACAAATGCTTTCGGTATAACACAATAGAGCTGCAATTAGCACAATTTGTGGCAAATATCAAATATATCTCAGTTCTATTCTTATGAAAATAAAATAACTAAATCTCTGCACTCTGCATGCATGTTAGAAAATTTAATATTAAATAATTTATATATTAACTTATATATGATATGCGTACCATTCGTGCTCGAATAATTTGTCTTATAATGAGATAAATCCCTGCCTGTCCAAACATCATGAAAAAAGAAACAAAAATTTATCCTATTTCTCTAATAACTACATTCACACAATCTACTAAATAGAAATATTTATTAATGTGGATATATATCTTGCAAATAGTGCTTGTACTGATTGGTTTGTGCCTTCAGAAACAGATATTACATAATGGTATATGTTCTTGGCTATTTAGGTACTGACAACTGATGTGTTCAGTAAGAATATTTGAGAACATTAGCAACTGTTTATATATTACATCTATATTTATGAAGAACAACCAAGTAAATATACAATATACTGCAAATAAACATCAATAGGTTATTTGTATTTTTAAGTGTGCAAAACATCTATGCATCCTGAACATATTCCTAATGTATATATGCATTACTAACCTCTAACTGTAACTACTTTTTACTTAGTGTTTACTGTATATGTATGCATATTTGTGACTTTTATAACTTAAACGCAAGATAAAAAACAAAAATAAATTAATATCGTTATTCTATTATTCTCTAATCAATTTTTTTCTTGAATGATCATTGATTATTGTTACAGAAGCATGTTTACTACTTGTGTATTCCTGCGATATCTCATCAGATACAAAACCAATTTTATGTAATTACAAATGAAGTGTAAGATAAAAACATTTATTTAAACCATTTAAAAAAAGGGAACATTTAATTAAAATTTATGAAATGTTATATATGTGTGCTTTGATTAGAACTGAAGATAAATTTTGAACTGTGCTTTGTGTGCTGTGGTTTCTTAGATATGCATGAATTCTGCTTGTGACTAGATTTCCATAATAATAAAATAATAAATTCAAACTTACTCTTTTCGAACGATAGATTGAAGGAATAATAGACGATTGCACCGTATTTATATCTCCTATGTAGAACATTGGTCTGCTTGCATTTTTGAGACCCTGTAAGAAATATCTTATATAAAACACCTGACAAATGCAAGATTTATTTCGAAGCAGCTGAATATATTTACCTGATAACCGTGTTCCAACTCAGTGTAAGACATGTCAGATCTGGTTTCATTGATAAAACAAACAGCTATTTCCTAAGCTTGAATTAGACAATGTCCCATGCACTGAAATGATCATGTTACTTCGCTTTAATGGCATTAATTAGACAATCAATTACAGCAATGCAGTAGGCAATGCACCCATTTCAAAGGTTACAAAAAAAAACTTAGAAGCTTTGTCTTTCGTTCTTTTAACACTTTTACTAGCTCCGTTTCCTACGAGCGTTCGTTCAGCAATGATATATCGTATCAAATGTGTGTACTGCTAACAAAATCAGCTCTCCTAACTATGTGTTAATGTTTGCGTACACCTAGATTATCTGAAAGACAAACGTTCTAAACAAAACTACGTGAATGTTTGTAGAATTATAAGCGCGTTATAACATGTGATTCATCGCAAACAATAAACACACACGTTTAAACGATGAGCACATGTTTTCATTCCTCGCTTGCTTAACCGACATTGAAGTTAGAAACGCAGTGCGCGAAATAGTCGTGAGTTTGTTGGCGATTTGCAGCAATATGAAAGGCAATGGAATGATACTTACAGATCGCGAAGAAAATGCGATTCGCGATCACGGTGATTACGCACAAATCGCAGTATGACACAAAACCTGGTGATTCGATACCACGATTTTGTAATAGTTTGAATTTACGTCTGCTGGCGTCGATCAGTTCGCAGAAAGAACGGCGTTCCCGGAACGTAGAATTTTCTTACGCATGCGCCATTTCGCCACTTCCGGAAACATGTGTGATCCAAAGGAAGAAAATGGTTTCGGCGCGGAAAAATACAAATGCAACATTTTAGCTGCATCTTTAGCAGATTTACAAAATTCTTTTCTTCTTCCTTGAAAATACTCGGTGTGCAACACAATTGCTATATATTTATTCCATTTTGGGTTTCACAAGGTAAGTATAGATGGATAGCTGGAATAGGAATAGATGCATGTTTATTTGTACATATACATTGAAGAATATGTATACATTTACGTCGATGTAAATTGGTAAGTAAATTGTACATAGATAATCTTGAATATTATGTTACAATGAAAATGTAAGGCAAAAAGGGTACATTTATAATACTGAGGATAATATAGCTGAATTGTGCTCCAAAATTCTTATAATGCATTATATTTGGCTTATTTTCTAAAATGACTTTCATATTTCATTGATAATTATGTCTTTATACGGAAACTTACAGTAAAAAAATTAAAAAAAAGTTCTTAAGAAAATATCAATTTGGTTTTTCTTTCAATAATAACGCTAAAAAATAACGAAATGTTGAACTAGTGATGCAAGTCGACAAGTAAATCACTTATTTATATAAAACTTGTGATGTTATGAGTATCTGTATGAGATTATATCTATATGATCATAAAATTATATATATATATATTATATATACAATAAAATTATATATATTATATATATACAAAGACCATAATTCGATAGTAACTGAGTAGTCACATCTCACTCACTTATAATATGAAAATGTGTACAACCGTTTTCTTCATCTGTAGTGAAAAACACACTTAAATATGTTTTTTCAGTTTGATTGCGTTGACAGGTATCTTCTTCGGTTGTATAAGAAACAAACTTTACATTTTTTCCAAATAATTTCCTTAATGATTCTTTTCATACTTTGATTACGTCGGCATATATATCTTATCTTTTTGCAAAATGTTGTTTATGATTATACTTATTTGCTGCATTAGTTGGTGATAGCTACAATATAAAAAAAATTTTGTTTTATATTTGTGTAATATTTACTGTTTAACTATTAAAGCTAGAATAAATATTTACCTTTATACAATATACATATTATTCATAATCTTTGTGAAACCTATCATCATGATCCCAGCCTTTGTTCTTCTGCCTTGGTGGTGTTAATTTCAAAGAAGTTAATTTTGTGCTAATACTGCCTCTCTTTGATTTATCCTTATTTAATGCGCCCGTTCCACGTATTGCTCTGGGGACATTAGCACTTTTCGAGTAATTGCCTTGCTCAAATGTATCATTAGTCATTTCTTCTCTTATAAATTGTTGGTTGTTATCAACTTCTTGCAATTGATTACCTGAAATATTACAAGACTCCTTAATACATCATTCTAAAAATGTTTGCCACTTTCGCTGCCATTGCATATAAACTACTACAGAGGTGCTATTTTCGAATTTAAAAATAATCAAATTTATTCCCCAAAAAAATTACATATTATATATGTAAATACATAAAATAAAGAAAAACTTGGTCGCTAGAAGACGTCGATAGCATCCGCATCTCATAAAAGCCAGATTATTAAAAAAATCTAATGATGAATAATTTTATATAATAAAATTAATCTAAACTTCTAACACAAGATACATATCAAAACTTTCAACAAAATCCAAAACAAGGCTTCTATAGTGTTGTCTCTCTTCTTCCTTTCTTCACGTCTGCGGACTAACAGATTATACACTTGTTTCTCTTTCCCTTCATTACTTTTTTCTTCAGTAATCATCATTGGTGTCATGCTGTATAATTAAAAATATTATTTTAATAGCGTTCCTATTGAGTAATATATGCATTATTTATGGCACATAAATTATGGCAAAATCTTTGTTGACCATGGTAGCGAAAGTGTGTAATAATCACATGTAACATACTTCTTTAATTAATATTTTATATATAAATTATCATTATATATATATATATATATATATACCATTTTCAGTCTTTGCCTCTGCGACCACTTTTATTTCTTCTTGAGAAAATGGGTATTCAAAAGAAATAGTCTTGATATTTGATTGATAAAAGTGCTTCACTTGTGCATTCGTGATTTCGTAGTTGTTATTGGCTAACTCAACCATTAACAATAACACTGTACGATTTGTAAGATTGTAACTTTTGTCTTGTATTAACATTTGTCTAATAGTCATCATTAAGCTTTCTAATCTTTCTGGACATGCCGCATGAAGATCTTTCCCAGATCTAAGAATCTAAAAACAAAATCTCTCCATAATTGTCTTATTTTTTTAAATGTTGAATTTATTGTTGCTTTTTTTTCTTTTTGTGTACACATGGATATCCAAAGACTTACCTGTATCATAATGAAATAAATATTACTTTTAGAATTGTCTTGTAATAAATCTTCTAAGTAATGAATCAATGGCTCAGCTAATATCTGCAGTCTGTTGCCATCATTCAGCCTCATGCGATAATAAACTTCTGCATGAAGTAGAATTACATTTGCAAATACCTTTTTATCCTCTACTTTATTTTTTTCTCTAGCTGAAAAGACAATATAGTTATAACACAACATCAACATGGAATAAAAGATATTAAAGACTCTCAAATACTTACCCATATAATTCTCTTGCAAGAAACGTAAAAAACGACTACGTATAGTCTCTTTGTTATTATCTTCTACCAGCAAAATTTTGTTATTGCTGAATAGTACTGCTATTTTTGTAGTAAGAGAGTCTTGATGTATAGCTTGTTTCCAAAGAGCATCACACGTATCTCTGAAAATTAATTTCACATTAAAAAATGAAATGAAACAAATGTAGTAAGTCTCTCAAGAAAGATTTGTAATACTTCAGGCTGTTCTTGTCAAATGTACTAGTCATCAGATCTATAATCTCCTGAATTAGCTGTGGCGAAATGTGTTGGCATACATCATAATTGATTATTTTATCTGTTATATCTTTAACAATATTGTTTGCACTGCCCGGTCTACGTAGAACCTGGTCCTTGTTCTGATTTTGAATTACCCATCCGCGACCACGGCCGAATGAAGTCATCTTTAACGTCTAATAATTAAATCTGTTAAAAACACATATGGATAAGTGTATACTTCTAACAGTTAGCTTTTGCGTAAAAACAATATAACTTAAAATACTTATTGAGAAATATAACCTTACACTATATTGGAGAGAATCTAGTATGTATTTCCACTTGTTTATTTCAGATTTTGAAGATGAACATCTACCTACACAATCGTTGGCGCAAAACTGTATGCCTTGTGAACATTTGCGGGCAATAGAGTGCAGAAAGTGCAGATGAAACAAAACAATGTCGAAATAGGTTAGTCTAGGTTAGTCTGATGCAGTCACGCAAGATTGCTGATAATGCAAGTCTGTTCATTGTAATTGCGCGATGTTGACCATTGTGTGACTTTTGTATATTTAAAATAAGTATATAATTAAATCCTGAGGAAAAAATCTTAACACATTGCTTGAATGAATAGATCTAAGAAGAAAAGAAAATCGGAGTTCAGAGGAAGTACAGAGCATATTTAAAATGAATATATCTTTCATAAATTATGATGTACATATGGCGTTTTATGTATTTGATAGTTTGAAATGTTGCTCGCCATTTTTTTAACAATGTTCCATACAAATTCTGTTTTTTACAAATAAATCATAGTAAGTCACAGAATTTTATCAATTACAAAGACAAATTCATTATATTTATAAAATAGATATCACAGTGATAATGAATATTAAATTGCATATTTGTCCAAAAAATCAAGTGAGTTATGTTTAGGTTTAGGTTCTGAAAGAAGAAAAGAGGGAGGGAAGAAAGAGCAATTAACAACTGTAATCGATAACAGCAACATCAGTTAGCAACTAAAAATTAGAAAAATTAGACTTATGATCATTAAGATCAGTATCATGAACTCTCTCAAACTTTCAATTTGCTTGACCAGCATATTTTATCGCTCAGACCATCTTATTGAACAGCATTGTTGCATTATGTTTTTTTTATTTGAGTAAGTATGCGCATTAATTTACATTTCATGAAAGAAATGTAGTGAATAATAAAAGTGAATCTTGAAATTGACAATTCTCCTTAGGCTCGCGCATGCGCGCCAGTCCAGGCAATGCACGGATGATCGCCAATCGTCAATCGGCACAGCAAGCCTAGCAAAACTGTGGTAACAATTTTGTCAGTCATCATCCCTGTCCATTAGCGGTAGCCATCGTCGCACGATCCGTCCGGATGATCAACGATCAGTCGGCTCGGTAGCCTTTCACAGTTCGGTAGATTGTTGACTCGATTGTGATTTACAGTGGTGGATGAACTGCCACGCAGTGATAGTCGCCAGTCGTCGACCGAGTACGTTTTATGGTGCTGCGCCGATTCGCTGCTGAGTTGTGTTTACACTGCGACGAGACAATATCGCCAGCACAGCCTTATCGTGGCAGACGATATCGCACGAGTCGCGTCCTAAAGGGACAACCAACTCCGTAAAAGAAAGAACAAGATATCATATCTCGCCGTTTATTCCTTCAAGAGAGAATATGACGACGGAGGAGAAGTTCAACGCTGCTGTCAACGTGATCAGGAATCTACCTAAAAATGGTAATTTCTTACGCCTACGTGACATAATTAATGTTATTGCGCGAGCACCTTGCACACGATGCAACAATTCTAATTCAATTTCCTACATAGCATTTATGTCATAGCTCGCTCTTACATCGTCATCGAACATGGCAGATATTGTGATGATATTGTAATCGTTTTTCGCTTGTACCGCTTCCCGAGAAAAAATGGTATAATTGGTCAGATGTAAATATATATAATTAATTATGAAAAAATCTAATAACATATGTAATTTTATATGAAATCATATAAAATCTTACACATTATCAGATCTTTTCATAACTAATTATATATATTTACATCTGACCATATTACACCATTTTTTCTCGGGTTTTGTTAATTTTTTTCCCCTTCTCGTTTCTCCCTTCAGTTTCGTTGGCGCTCAAACGTTTTATTGCGCATTGGCTAAAGTCCACAGATTTAATATTTGCCGTCAAAATGTAAAACGTACATGCAGATGACATGCATGCTTATTCATGTTTATTCACTAAGACAAGTGGTACAAGGTTCCTTTTCGAGTGCACATAGCATCGTAAATTAAGTTCGATGATGTTGTATAGATCCTTGGCCTGAAAACATTCATATAACAATGAAACCGGTGTCACGCTTTTCGGACGCCTGTTACAAACTTTTACTTGTACAAATGTTGCCATATAGCTTTGATCTTTTTCGGATTTTTCTATTGCCTCAAGTGCTTCTAGGTGGGAATAACGAATCTTGCGTGTATCGCTATCGTGTAGAGAAATTTGCAGAATTGAATCACGCCAATGCAGGAAAGTGAATGTAATTTCTCACTCGCGGCGTTGAAAGCGAAATAAAAAAAAAAAATTGATGCGCCAATTCTCCGCGATGCACGATTTCCTTGTACGTGAAAAAAATAATGTCTGATAATGTCTGTTATGATCTTTTACATCTGCTGGCAGACAAAAACTTCGGCGAAACCTTCACCTTTGAAACTTTACGTCACGACAAAATCATACGATTCATTCTATTGGTTCTAAAACAATTAATCTCTTGTTAGACTCTTGCGCGTTAGTTAACATAGAATATAAAAAATAGCGCATAAAAACACAAATAGTGTTTAAAATGTGCGCTTACGTAAAAAGTATTCAGCATTATTTATCTCTTTTATAAAGACGTTTGAATCTTGTGTTTCGTGAAAATTATTTTTTATTAAAAATCAAGTAAAAAGAAATATTTTGCACTTTAAAAATAATATATTATTTATTTTGATAATCGTAATTTAAATAATTATTTCATAATATATGTAATATTGGAACAAAAAGATATTCATTGAAAGTCGTTTAAATATATGCATGCAGTTTTTTTTTATTGTTTGGCCTTGATGTTGGATATTGCTTATACAAGTGTACTTTCCAGCCACTTCATATAGCAAGTGACTGTATTGGCCCCCACTTTACTTTCTAACGGCGTAAGACTAACTGAACCATGCTTGGTTAAAACTAGAATTTTCCTCCTCGGTGATCGCAAAAATTGATCTGTGTTGCATAAATAATTATGAAATTCTGTTAACAAGCGCTTTAATTATCTATAATATACGTTCTATTTTTATTCAAAACAGAATTTTACAAAGGCCCGAACTTTGTATTTTACGATCATTTAATACCTATTTATACTCATTTGTCGACAAGTATACAAAAAAATGAAATATGCATAAATGAAATATGACATAATACAAAATGCAATGTTTAATTTTTATGCAGATAAACACAGACTTTAAATTGCATTTGAATTTTAATGAACATTTCCTGTGATTGTCAGCTGGAGATAAATGAACACAAGCTTTCATGGGAATTACTATAATAGCTATGCCGCATTAATGTTACTTTCTAAAACCACAAATTCAATCAAAATTGCTGTACTTTAATATTTTTTTAACACGAAAGAGATATTTTATTTATTTTCGTATATATTTATACTTTTATTTAATATATTTTTGTAAAAAAAAAAAGATTTATTATTAGGTAACATTTTTAATTTGCAATCTTTACGTCTTGCTTACGGAATATTATTGAGTTAACTGGGATCAAGGCCAAAAGATAAAAGTATCATACTTTGTTGCCACTATAAATTATAAATTAGCACATTCCTTTATCTCATATCAATTCAGAAAATAAGTTTTGATTAAAATGATCTATTCTAGTAATATATTTAACAATATTTTATTTTATATTACACATTTTAACATATTTTAATTCTTTATTTTTATTCTGAATAAGGCGCATAAGGCGATTATAATAATCGATCAAAAATAATATTGCTAATATATAAATTAATATATTTTAGGATCGTATCAGCCCAGTCATGAGATCATGCTTCGTTTTTATTCGTATTACAAACAAGCGATCGAAGGACCTTGTCAACAATCGAAACCAGCATTTTGGGAAGTAGTTAAAAAAGCAAAATGGGATGCGTGGACACGTCTTGGTAACATGAGTCGTACGGAAGCCATGAATAATTATGTAGAAGAACTGAAGAAAGTAAATATTGATTACTCTTACTCTTAATACAATAAAATTAACACGAATGGGGCATATCAGACAAGACTATCGTCATATTGCAGATTGTCGAAACTATGTCTTATACGGATAATGTCGCAACGTTCCTTGGCAGCTTGGACTCCTTTTACGAAAGTGTACCGGTCGAAGATTTGGAATTACTTGTGGGACCAGTATTGGAGCGTATGCGTTCTCAACCGGGATCACCATTATCTGGTTCGCCATTAGGTTTGTTTTTCTTTTTCCATGCATACGATATTTCAACTTCAATTATTCATAATAATCTTATCTGAAGACTGCGAATTAACGCAATCTGCACTCAGCACCTGTGTATATATTGCTCAAAACAATTTACAAATCACATCCGCGAACGGTTTTGCAAGAAATACAAAATGTAAGAAGTATCGATATGTTTATCGCAGATTGCGACCGAGTATTAAGATAGCTTTCATAATATTAGATATCAATTGTGATATGACAATATCACGCATAAAATTATCTACGTGATAACAGTATTTCTCCCGGGCTGCTTAACTAAGAATAATATGTATTATTTAAGAAGTGTTTTGTTTTACAATTTTGTGTAAATTTTGTTCTTAATTCAAGTATCCAGAGAAACATCACCTCACAGAGTTTGCAACACTTCTCGTCACATAACGAGCAGTTTGGAAACGAGTCCGACCAGCAGTCGCACCGCTAGCCCGCTGCCACAGGATACCGATGGTGAAGAGGAAGAATTTATAGACACTGTTGAAGTATGGCATTATTAACATTATATCACATAGCTATCGTTTTATATTAGAAAGTTAATTGTAAACTGATTTTCTTGCAGTCCGCACCGGAAAGAACGCAAAAAGATACAGCTAAATCTGTTCCTCAAAAGACACAAACGGTGACAAATAACGGAATTGATCAATCAAATGCGGAAAACGCTGCAAAAGAAAATACTGAGCTGCTCAATGGATACACCAACGCTAACGGTCATGTGGAGACACTACAGGAGAACCATCGAGAGAGAGGTAGACAAAGGATAAAAAAAGACGACAGTAAAGTCAATGTGGAATTCCTAAATCAAATCGCAACGACTATGCAGCATCTACAGAGAGACTTGGACCGAATAACAGCCAGAGTACGAAGCTTAGAAGGACAAGCCCTGCAAGCACTGGCGCCACGAACAGTACGTAATGTTATTGTTTGAAAACTAATTAAAATACAATTTTTTTTCAATAGAATGGGAAATAAGTAATTTCCTATTCCATTTATTCTTGCAATCTTACCTTGCTGACGTCGGTATTCTTTCTCTTTTCAGGAGCACGCGCTTAGAAACAGATATGCGAAGTGGTGGCCGTTGCAAGAGTGCCCGCCGCGCTTGTTCGTCTTGTTAATTTTGTGGCCATTTGTTGCTCACCTGCTGATCAACTTTACGCAGCGCTATCGCCAACGAAAACTGTGATGCCACGGCTGTAACTTCTTACACAGCTGAAAACCTATTTCCATTATTCGGGTTATTAGTGTTGAGTTGAAAAGGTACAGAGATTTTTTTAATTTTATATTTCTTATAGAAACAAAGCGCGCTTATCCTAATACAATCTACGATTAAGCGTGAATTGTGATAAAACTAACTAACTAGGCCAAATCTCTGTATATTTTTACATATGCAGTCTGTTTCGCAAGTCGCGCATTTTCATCTACAGAATCTTTGACAGAAGCTGGATTGAAAGCCATTTTTGTTGATACAAAAATGCCATTTCAATATTGTTTAATCAAAATTCAAATTTAATGATTAATTTGTTGATATATTTTACGCGTCTTTATAAAATTTGACAAATAAAAAGCGTACAAGATAAAATGTAACAATTGCTTTATATCTATGTTATATTGCAATTTGTATTTTATAATGTCTAATTATATTTTATTAATTTTAAGTTTAATATTTCTAATTAATTTTAAGAATTTAACAATTCTTTTGTCATGCAAATATGCTTTTCTTATACATGCATATATGCTTTTCTTTTATTTGCTATTTAACAAAGAAATACACGACTTTCGAAACAATCTGTGTAAAAAATATAGATATAGTTCAATGGTTTATAAGGTGTATGTATTATAAATAGTTATGTATTCCATAAATTGTAATATATATTATATACACAGGGAAAAGCAAATCTTTTTGTACACGTAAGCGTATATGATAGTCAGTTGTTATATGTATATTTTATATGTAATGCGGATTTTTCAGAAAAAAATTGGGCTTTTAAAGCATATATTACACCGGCATTACAGCGATGGTGATTAATGAATGATACTTTGATGTTCAAATGAGCGTTTCTACGTACCAAACGAGAACGATTGCGATAAATATTGTGTACATATGTGCAATGTAAAAATATACAAATTTTTCATTATTATTAGTCCTACTTTTCTTCCTGACTTTCCTGACTCTTTTCGATCGGAATTATCCCACGGATAAACTCACTGTCATTGTTAATGCAGTGAGAGCGTCCGTTCTTTTAGTCACACTTTTTCTTAAGAGAGAGAAAGTAGGAAGAGAACAAAGTAGAAAGTGTAACTAAGAGGACTAGAGTTCATGAGTGGCAAATCGTGTATATATACATTTAAAGTAAATTACTAAGAAATAAAACATTGAAATATGTTCCTTGAACTCAAAAACATGAGTAGAAATCGGTTTTTGAACAGCTTCAAAGAAAAAGATTTATAAATTTTTTTTTCCAATGTAACATTTTTAGAGCTATTTAAATTATTAATAAATATAGATATTCCTGTTTCTCTCAGAAATATTTATATAATCAAGATGAATTTTATATTCAATTAATAAAGTTATCATTTAATAAGATCAGTTTATAAATAAAATGGTATAAATTTTTAATTATTATAGCTTTACTGAAAAGCGTTAATATCTAACGGAGAGGTGCTTATCGCATAGAAAAATTGAAGAAAACAAGGAACTAGGAACATACATTTTATGATAATATATGAGTTTTTCGTTCAGTGAGCGTTTAGTGATTACACAACGGTTGCATCGATTAATGATTATGCTGTGTCAGAATAGCTTGCTTTGCTTGCTTTGTGCGCACAAGTAGCAGTTGTGCAGTCGTGTTGCATCCTGTATGCAGGAACCGTTGCGCGCCATGCGATGCCGAGCAACACGTAGTGATTGCGTAGTAAGTATATACAAATATAAGTGTACGCAGTATGTCGATACGCGAAGTTGCACGTATGTTGTGCGATACGGTCGTCGATCCGTGTGGACGTCACCTGTCACGTTGCGAAAATGTGTACACGATATATAATTATCTTTCACGAATTCTAGTGATTGCTCCGACCGCTTCCACTGCTCCAGATATTACGTGCAATCTCCACATAAGATTTGTAAACTGACGCCGAGTAAAATTCTGCACGATGAACGCAAATGTGCTCCTAATATTTCTGAGTATTTTTGCCGCCAGCTGTTCCAGCAATGAAAATCTTGATTTAGGCACGATTGTTTTCGCGAATGTTGTAAGTTTCGTTCAGCTCGAAGATTGTTATTAATATTATTCCTCATTCTTATGTATTGATAATTTTTATTTTAAATTTTAAATTTATTAATGAATATACATCAGTGTTTTAGATATATTTTTATCTTCTGTTTTGGTGTTCTTTCTGTGTGTGTATTGTAAAATTTATAAATAAAACATATATATTATCAGCTTGCTTCTATTTACAGCTGTACAGACATGGAGATAGAACTCCTGTTACAAATTATCCCAATGATCCGTATAACGAAACATCTTGGCCAGTTCCATATGGACAGTTAACAAACGTAAGTAAATAATTATTATTATAATTGACAAATAGACACTGAGAATAATAATTAGCTGAAGATGTGTTTTATAACATTAAGAATGTTCTTTGTGTTTTATCTCATTACTAATCTCTCTCTCGTGACTAATTCTCTGAAACATGATACGTTGAAGCTTATTCTGGCACAGTGGTCATTTGGCATTCTATATGGAGAAGATAAAAAATAGATTGTGAAATAAAGAGTTTCAAATACACTAAAAATATTAGATCAAAATTTATTGAAAAGAAACAATTTTATTAACAATATATTATTATATTGTCAATAAAATACAAATTGCAAGGATTACCGTACACAGATTTGAAAGGTCCTTTATTTCATTTCATTTCATTAACATTTTATCTCCAAAAAATATAGATTGGGAAACATCAACACTTACTTCTTGGACGATGGCTGAAGAATCGATATTCTCATCTCTTAAGCGATCTTTACACGCCACATGACATCTACATTCAGAGCACAGATGTAGATCGTACACTGATGTCGGCCGAAGCAAATCTGGCTGGGCTTTATCCACCGGTGCAGAACCAAATCTGGGACAGCATCAAATGGATGCCGATTCCAGTGCACACAGTCCCGGAAAAGCAGGATTATGTCTTAAGGGCCAGCAAGCATTGCACGCGGTACAATCACGAACTAAACAAGGTGTTAACATCGCCAGAACTGGAACACATAAATAAAGAAAATGCAAAGCTGTATGCCTACTTAACAAAAAATTCTGGAGGAAAAATATCTTCGTTGGAAGAAGTTGAACGCTTATATGACATTTTGTACATTGAGGTATGTCGATATTGTTTTACATGCTCAGCTAAATGTATACTTTTGGATACAATAATGGCTGCAATTCATTCATTGAATATGGATTTAATAAAGGTCTTTATCCTTCAGAATTTATACAACAAAACTCTGCCGGAATGGACAAAGTCGGTGTTTCCGGATAAGCTGAAGCCACTCGCTATACTTAGTTTCATGACAGAGACATATGATAAGATACTTCAGAAATTGAAGTCAGGTAATCAGTCACTCATCGCTTAATAATATTTCATTTATATTTGTATCTATATATTTCTTTAAAAATTTGTCATAAGGTCCACTGCTTGGAGAAATGATAAACCACATGGTCAAAAAGGCGCAAAAGACTTTAAAACCTGACAGGAAGGTTTGGGTCTACAGTGCTCATGACGAAACTGTGGCAAATATGCTGATGACTTTGAACTTATTTGAGCCTCATTGTCCGCCATACGCCGCTACGATTCTCATGGAATTAAGGACAAACTCTAAAAACGAGTATTTTGTGACGGTAAAAATTCCTCAATATTTATACAAATCTCCTCACTCAAGGAGTCATCGATTAAGAAAGTTGTAATCACTTGTTTTCCTTCACAGGTTTCTTATAAAAACAGCACCGAGGAACCAATACTTATGACGTTAGAAGGCTGTACTACTTTATGTCCTTTAGATAAATTTGTTAATTTAACGAAAAGTGCTGTGATCGAGACACTTCAAGAGTGGGAGTTAGAATGTTTAATCACATGGGATGACCTAACGATACATAACAAATTTTGGAGTGTCATGGGTAATTATCTATATCGTATTAAATCAATGATTTTGCATGTGCATTTTGCATCAACTAACAATCAAATTAATATCGTTGTACAGTAGAACCTCGATTAATCGTCACTCGATTATTCGTCACCTATTATCCATCTATGATCTTGTAACTACATACGTAGACTGGAAACTTGTCACGTAAAACTTCCAAGAAGTTAGGCGCATTTGTTTCACAACAAATCTAAGTCCATATTTTTGAAAGCTCCGGGTTTTTTTTGCTTTTCCAACGACCAATAGTGGAAGTCTATGTTCACCGCTAGCATTCGCGCAAACCATAACAGTTATTCGCTCTTTTTGAGCTTTGTATCCAGGCGCTGTCGTTTCTGAGGATGAAGACAAAGTTGTTTGTAGAAGAGCCTACCAATTTAATTTCGTTTCATCACAGTTGTATAAACTTCCATTGTTGGTTCCATTGGAAAAGCAAAAAAACTCCGAGCTTTCAAAAATATGGACTTAGATTTGTTGCCAGTAAAATACCACGCCCAAAAAAGTGTCTGGACGAGTCAAAAGATTTTCAATGACTGATTTAAATCATATTTTCTTCCTGAGGTCAGGCAATATCTTCGCAAAAATAATTTGTCCGAAGAAGCTATGCTTTTAATGGACAATGCGCCAACTCATCCGATTGATGAGTTAAAATCAGAAGATGGCAAAATAACTTGCCACTTTTTATCAACAAATACTACATCTTTGATTCAATCTATGGATCAAGGTGTGATTGTAAGTTTTAAGAGGCGCTACAGAAAGGCCTTTATTCAAGGCCTTGTTTCTGCAGATGAAACAGAAACAGATGCAGATTTAAAAAACTACTGGAAAATGTTTACTATAAAGGACGCAATATATAATGTTGCAGAAGCTCGGAACGATATTTCAAACAGAACTCTGCAATGGTATTGGAATAAACTGCGGCCTGAGGAAAATGCAACCGACAAACAAATTGAAGATCAAGAATCCACAATCTCTTCTGGGCAGCGAACAATTACAAGTCTTCCTGGATACAAAGACATCTCTGATAATGTTAATATCTGGCAGGAAATAGACAAAGGCGATTTGAGATACAAGATCTTGCCTGACAATGAGCTTATTACTCATGTGCTCAAGTCAGATGAAACCGATAAATCTGAAACTTATGAAGATATTTCAGAAGATATGCCGACCACCATCAGTCACAAGGAAGCTGAAAATATGATGACGAAAATTATAGATTGGTATGAAAACCAAGAGGAGGCAGAGCCGCTGCAGCTAATATCATTGCGTAAAATTCGCAATCTTGCAAGCCAGAAATGACGATAAACAATAAGGTAAAAAATAATTACAGACTATTTTACAAAGTAAATTCTATAAAGTAATGTTAATATACTACATATGTAACATGTAGTATGTACTTATATATGTTTTATAAAAATAATAAAGTTCTTCTATTATCCGTCTATTTCTCCCGGTCTCGACGGATAATCGAGGTTCTACTGTACTTGAAGCCCATTTATCGCGTCTGTAATACTCACGGATCACTTTTACACACACTCATGGACTAAAAACTTAATTACAAAACAAGAATCATACATTTAATGCAAAATTCTATACGATGAAAGATACAGAATTGTCGACTTTTTTCGTATTATTTAGATAAATCAGTCGCGTCACATCCGCCTGGCATGATTGTTGAACTCTCTTTTCATTTGTTTCATTATTTACCCATTGCCGCACGTATGGCGCTTTTCTTTTGTTTGATATGCTTACATGTAGCTTGATAATGACCGTTTGTAGCAGAACAAATGTTTGATAAGCGATTACTGAGGCTGATAAGTGTATATTCTTGGATCTTTTCAAGACCCAGTAGTCGGTTAATCGACCTGTTAAGGCGATCTGAATACAAGCAATTTTGTACAGTAATTTAAAGTATCGATTTGGTGCAATAATATTAAATATGATTTCTTTTTGTATCGCGCAATATTTCTAATATTATTGATCATATTCTGCATGTATTTCAAAAATTATTTATCGCAGATTTAAAATCAAATTTCTTATTTGTTTCAGCAATCCTGGTAATTTTTATGTTAATGCTACTTTTACTGGCCTCATTAGTGATGGCTTTCATGTTTTGGCCTCGTAAGAGCGAACAGAGACAGTATTACTTTCGCTTAGTTACGCATAGTTATGACGAGGTCATATAATCAATATTAGCCTAAAATAATGCAGCGACTTATTGAAAAATATGGTTAATCATTAATTCATATTGAAATTGAGACGAAATATTTTATACATGTTATAAATTAGATTGAAAATTTCGTAATTTGTTCTATTTAAGAATGCTGTTTTATGACAAATAGCACGGTTTGATCTCACGATATTTTTTTCGTAGATACCGTGATTTTTACACGGAATGAGTTTTTTTTTCATATTTAGTGCATCTATGTGATAATATGATTAATCATCATTGTGCTATTATTGCCTATAGATATGTTTTGAACTTGCTCATTTTCGCTCTAGAAGATACGCTCTAATTTTACTTTGAAAGATATTAATTTACATTATAAGTTATTACTAATAATTTGTTACGAACTAAGAAAAATCAGGTCTCATCATTGACATAATAATAGTTTATATCATACGTTTATATATACAAAAAATAATATTCCGAAAGAAATAGAGAGGGATAGCGATTTTTAAATTTTGACAACTTAAAGGAGACAAATATTCAGGTACTTTTATAAAAAGAAAAATCATTATTTGTAAAAATATGTTGTATCGCCTGATTTAAAAATGAACGGATTTTATACAATAAACATGTAAAGTAATTAGTTTGCGAAATACAATAGGCGATGGATGAATTTCGTAATACGTACTATAGATTTATGTGAAACATAAACTTTTTTTAGAACAAAATCGCTATATGAATTAGTTATTGTTGCTGTTAACTATACGATACATGTGATAATGCAATATATACAACATATGCAACATATGCAACATATTGTAATGATTGTCTAGTCATGATGTATCGAACTTGGACATTGCGTTTGTATGCAGCGAACTTCTTTTTATATAACATAACAGTAACTCGAAAGAGAAGGGGTTAATGTATAACACTGCCTAAACAAACATTTAGTTGCGAAAATCCAGTGCTGGAATAGAGATGTAACAATGATTATTCAAATTATGACGCAATGTATAGAATATATTTTGCATTTTTAACAATTGAAACTGCACGAGTGCAGTTATACATCTGCGACTTACAACATACGAATCATGTTCCTGTTTTTTTAATTTGATCTTACAACTTGGTTGTTGTTTGCAACTAAGTGCGTGTCGAATTATTTTAGAATATTTACAAGTAAAACGTATATATATGTGTACGGGTATCTTATTAAAAATATTTTTGTGATGTTTCAAATAATATAGTGTAATGTGTATTGAGCGACGAACTGTTTTATGGCACTTAATGCCGTTGAAGATAATTAACACATGCGATACGCTAATGTCATTTATTTTATATGTATAAAACAATAAAACTTAATTCATTTAATATAGTATTTACATTATTTTACATACCATATAAGAATTAGATAGTTCTCTATAAAAATTGACTATATAATAGAATAGTTTATATAAAGTTACTTTTGTAAGAATATATATATTTAATATACTTTACAAACAAACAATATAAGAAGTTTATTAAACATGTCACTATCAATTATTAAATATTTGAATAAAAATTCGTCATTGAGCATATTATAAATGCTATCTCCACATTTCATTACTAACTTAATTATTTATTAATTTATTTAATTATTATATGCGCTAATTAGCACATATCTTGCCTTTCATATTCTGCCTAAATTTACGAAATATTCCATTTATTCGCATATACATATATGTAAATGACGACAGAATCTCAATTACAATATAAGGCACTAAAGATTACCTCTTATACAATTTGTAGTTGAAGACAAATTTGTTTCGCTTGTCACGTGCACGTTATCGCTTATCCGTTGGCAATATGTTTTTCGCTAACAAGTTAGTATGCTGGTATAGATGTAAAACTGCCACCCAAACTTTCGTCCTGAATGGAAAATGCTGGATTTGTTCTGCAATATATCAAAGATACTTTCGAAATTGTTCATACCTTGAAGCAAATCAAAATCGGGACATTATGAATTTTAACGACATGCTTACCTTTTTGACGAAGTCAACGTTTGCTCAGACTTTCATATGTTAAAAATTTACATGCAAGGAAAATAATTCCGGTTAATCACTCGTTCATTCACGAACTTATTTTTAGAGTAACATTAAAACAAAAACAATTAGACCAAATAAAAGTGACAGCAGTGGAGGTGTAACGATATTCTGCACTAAGGGAATTGTCGTTCAACAACGATGACAAATCATGAGAGAGAGAAGCACCATTGTTTGTTTATTATAAAAATATATTCTTCGCGATGGATAATAATTGATGACACATACCATAGGGTATCATGCTGACGTCACGAGATCTTACACGAGATCAAGCACCTGTCCAACACGACATCGTTTTCACATATTTGTGGAATACAAAGGTCGTATATTGTTTCACACATTCAATTGCACTATTCCAACTAAGCGTTTAATGAGGTTTCGGACGTATTGTGGAAACTATGAATGAAAAAAAAAACTCATACTGAATCATAAATATGTATAAAACTAGCTTACACTATATCATAATCTATTTATATGCGTAAAGGTGATATAAAATTAATAAATTTAAAAAAATAAATAAATTGGATATAATAATTAATATCTTTAAAGAAAACACACTTCTAAATTATTATTGCAAATAAGTATTTTCTTTGTTTGAAATGTAAAAATATTAATTCTGCTTAATATTACATACCTAAACCATGTATTTGTTAGAGGACATTTTTATATAAAAAATTGTAAAAGAACACGATAAGAATACCTTGTAGCAAATGAAACACTCAATATATCAAAATCTATTCGCATGACTTGATCAACACAAATATAAAATTCGTTCTACTATACGAAGTTATTTTGTAAAAGTGCAGAAAGTGCATGTTGTGTCATGAGTTGTGTCGAGTTAGTTCGTTGATCCCTTACAATTATCTGTGTTAACATAACATAGAAATGAGTTTTGCTGTCCCGCACACCACATTCATCATATATTCCCAAGAATTAGTCTTACAAGAGTACATATTCAAGCAGTCTTCTAAGTATTCCATTACATGCGTTATCTTTCGACTTCAACTTCAAAAGCACACCTTGTTGCTCCCAAAAGTGTATAATATGACGCAAAAATACCCGTAAGTTTATATTTCGCAAAGTAATTTTCGAGTTTTATGAAAGATTTTTGTTACACAATTCCCAAAGAATCATGTAACATATAAGAAACATAGCAAACATATTCAATATGCCAAGTATATACCAGCACAATAACCACCACCACATAAACAGGTTTTCTTATGAAATGATCGCATGGAATATTTCGTACAAAATCAGTACACACAAGACAATATTAGTCTTTATGTTAATCTACAATTTTCTGATTAAAATATTTCACCACAAAGATAAACATGTTGGTTAATAATTGCTTGGTGAAAATGCATTTGTCATTACTACAAATGAATGTCGCTAGAATTCTCCTTACCTGGCATAAACGGCAGGATTCGATAAACCGAGCGTAGGATTAACGGGTGAACCGATGTACTTAACAACAAACTGCAATAAAAAATATAAAGAGCATAAAGGTTAGCTTGAATAAGACAATTTGACGCTGAAATAAATAGGCAAAAAATATACATACCCAATGGTTGCTGAGGGAAGTTGCGCCCATACTCACAGCCATATGAATAGCCAAGTAAGCGCAGAAGAGAAGATATAGGATCGCGTACAAGGACATGGCAAAGAATACGGCCCAATGATGGGGCAAGTCTTCTTGGACAGTTTGTATCACGAAATATATGTTTATCGTTATTACTAGTACCGACAAAGCAGTCGATACAATCTTGTTTGCTCTGCAACATGAAACATAATGTGATCATAAGAAAAGGAACAATTGCTTCCGCGCTGAGAGTAGTAAAAGTTACATACATTCCGTTACGGAATTCACCCATGATATGAACGCTACTCGTGAAGGCAATTGTCGGCAGGGTGGCGAACGGTAACTGTAGGCTCATTATTGCGTTTAAAATGTCGTTCATGTCGCTCAAGTTGTTCAGATCGGCGAAGAAAGCTACTAGGAACGTGGGAATTATAGCGATTGTTCGAGTGAAGAGCACTCGCTTCCAACGTGCCCACTGCAGATTCAGAAACCCTTCCATCGCGAACTGACCGGCATAGGTGCCCGTCATAGTGGAAGATTGTCCGGCGGCCAAAATACCAACAGCCCATATGTACATAGCGGCCGCGCCAAAGGAACAACCGAGAAAGATTCCGCCTTTGTAAAGATCGGCATCAACCGTTTTATTGTTTCTCTAAAGTTTATAAAGAAATATATATGGTTAAAGAACTGTTTTTATACACTGACTCGAACACTCATCAACTGTTTTCAAGCTGAATATAAAATATAAATACTTACATCAAACGTTTGCATGCCAAGAGTATAATTATGCGTCTTGCAAACTTCATACTGTAAAGCAGAAATTAATTAAACTCAAATTATTCAGAATTTATCTATAGTCAGTTTTGATAATTGTCATACGTACAACATCGTTATTCGTCTTGTTGAAGAGTCCATGAGCAAATACGGCCACAACGAACACATTGATTATGAATGACACAAATAATGCAACGCAGGCCTCGATAAAGTAATACATATTAGCATCTTTGATCTTTGCGGGCTGTCTTCGATCGATATCTCTCGACTAATTAAAGAAAATGGAAAATATATACATACTGTTAAAAGTAAGTCTTAACTGTGAGTGTTTATAGATCTTACTTTGACTAAGGCGCTGTGAAGGTACAAATTATGCGGCATAATGACAGCTCCAACGATTCCTACAGCTTGAAGCAGCACCTTGTTATCATAATTCATTCCATTGTACCACGGAACAAACATGCCTCTTATAACATCTAATTGTGGAGGCGCAGAAACAGTATACTAAAAGATCAAAAAACATTTTAGCATCACAATGTTAATCACACGATGCAGTACAATTGGAAATATTTTGAAATAAATTCACCTCATAACCAAAGGTGATTGCCATGATTGCGATAAGAAAACCGAAGAAAAGCTCCAATTTCCTCAAGCCATATTTATCTAGCAATAAAAATGTAAATGTGTCAATTACTGTAATAAGTACACCACCCCATATAGGAATCCTGAAACATAAGAGATACACAAGTATTAATAATCAACAAGTCATTGTCATTTCTTTATCACAAATCTCTGTTTATATTTATACATCTGTTATTTAAACCTCTGTTTATATTTATACATATTCTATTATTCTAAATGCACAAGAAAATGAAAAGAAACGAAAATAATAATGAAATAAAGACAATGACTATGTAACGAGAGTAAATAATATTACACGTGCGACAGCAAATTTAACATGCTATTTTTATCATAAACACATATACAGGGTGTTTCATAATGTCCGTGCCAACGCTCGTGTGCAACGCATGGCGAGAGCAGAAATAATACGTGTTGTTATTTTTCGTTGCCGTGCGATCTTCGTTGCTGTCACGCCTAGAGTGTACAGCTCATGTGTCTAGCCGCGCGCAACGCGTGATTATTCGTCAATCCTTTTTTAATTAATATCTCAATTATTATTGTAAAAATTGCAAAACAGTAAAGAACTTTTCTATTCAGTTCGCCGCACTCTACCCGCATACGAGTGTTGGCACGAACATTATGAAACACCCTGTATATTGTATAGATTATATAATCCATCAGGTAACTAAAAAAGTTTGTGTAATTTTTTACATTAAATTTAATATAAAAAATTGCACGAATTTTTTTGGTTGTCTGATATTTTTATTCACTATACAAAGTATCAGTTTATTCAATATACTAATATATTGGATATAGTAAATAACAAAATTTTCAAGTTGAACAAGTGAAGAAACTCACAATACGTTTCAAGATTCACGCTCTAAATTCTCTTAAGAATATCTTGTACGTGTGTTGAGTAAAGATTAAATCGTATCAGACACTTACATTTTATTAGATAAGAGATAAAGGGCAATGGCCGTTCCTATCACCTCCTGCATATCGCTGCCAATAATTGCTATTTCAATCATTATCCACAAAATAAGTCTAGGCACTTTTTTGTATTGTCTGTAACACATCTCTGCTAGATGCAAACCGCTTACTACACCAAGACGCGCACTGAGTCTTTGCATAACAAGACCTAGGATAGTAGCGCTTAGGAGTACCCATAATAACTGAAAGAAAACACAGGCGAACAAAAAATTAATATTATAAAAAAGAAAAGATATAAGAAACATAATAAAAAAAATAATCAGATATAATATTAAAATAAATAAAACTTATTGCAGCAATGCTTATTTAAGGTGGAAGGTATACCTTGTATTTTGCTACGACACCAGATTGTAGATCCGATTCTATGTTGCCAGGATCCAGATAAGCTATGGACATTAAGAAACCAGGCCCGGTGAAAGCCCATAATTTCCTAAAACTAAATCCTGTCTGCAAGATAATTTTTAATTAGAGTCCATATTAGAAGATGGATCATTGAGATAAGAATGATGATAATGATATCAAATCTGCTTGTGTTGAAAAAGAAGTACAAATATTGTAAGTATTGATATCAAAGCTCGTGTTAGAATGAAAGTGTAACTAAATATATTATTGACAAAACACAATGTCAACTTACTCCCGGTATTTCTGGCACTTGCACTCTTTCATTACAATAGGTTTGGTTGTTTGGAGATAGAGAAGTGTTCTCATTAGCCTTGTCAGTTGGCGATTCTTGCATACGTTGATGTGGCACTGTTGTAACAGTGGCATCACCACTGGACCCCACATCGTAACTATTATGCATTATGTATTGATGTTTTATCCTAAAGAAAAAAATTTATATTTATGCAATAGAGTGTCAACTTTTCTCTTGCAATCCCACGAAAGCAAATAATTTGTCGACATAAATAGTGCAATTGAGCAAAACCACATAATTCTGATGCAATGTGTCAAAACAAAAAAGAGAAAAATGTTAGATACCTAATCATTGGAAAAACAGCAACGCATTAAATAACGTTAAGTAAACGATAGCATATTTTTTTATTAATTAATTATAATAAGCTTTGTCACTAATATAACAGTAAATAAAAAATGCTTAGAAGAAAATCTGGAAAACTCTTGATCTAGATCCTAAATCGTAAACCGATACTGGCACTATTATTTAAAATGAAGTTTTGACTCACCTCGTGGATAGAATTAGCAACAAATAAATCACGTTCTATTTAACAGCATCGACACTTCCTACGCTTTACAATCATTAATTATGAAGCATTCCTGTGATTGTCACAATCAGCTGCTCCATAACCATACACCTCCGTGCACTATTCGCCTGCCACTGGCCATCTACTGAATGTTGCTATGAACTTGGCCGAGTAATATGAAGCGAGTGGGAGAGAAACCGTCAGGGACGTAATCGGGTAATATTCCAGAAGAAACAGTATCGTCGATCACGTGAATATTTGCAGAGCTTTTCCCCCTTCTATGTTTACAACGTAACTCGTATTTTTCTTTTTATAAAGTAAAGAGATTTTTAAGTGCTTAATGTTGCGAATTCAAGGCTCGTTAACGCCATGGCCTTCTTTTGAGAAAAGATCGACTTTAAGGTTACTCAAGAATTCATAATGTTGTTTAGATGAATATTGTTACGTGCCGCAACTTATAGTTTCTTAGAGTACTCTGTTTATTCGAACCTTTTTTATATTTACTCCTTCCTGACCCTAAACACGTGACCCTTCGATAACTGCAACAAACATGGATTAATCTAAACACTGTCCCTGTGTCTAACGCGTATTTTCTCTTCGATAAAACCTCCTCCTTCCAATTAACATTCCACCGCTACAATTTTCCTAGAGCACTTTAAACGAAGATCCTTCTCGCCTGTTCAGTTCTCGATCAAAGCTCAAATCAGCAACACTGAATAAAGACTTTTTCCACAAACGTGTCCTGACTTATTCTAAATAATCTATTACGTAGCTATACGCTCGTAACAATATTCGACGATTTAGAATCCCTTACCTGTAAATAAATAATATATTATTATTAGGTAGATTTACATTTTTAGTATATAAAAAGATGTTACGCTTCCGTCTTATTTTTTTACAATTATTCAGATTTTATTATATGTATTTCAAGAGTTTGTATATTTCAGAAGCTACATATATATATATTTTTAAAATATTCACATATTTTAAAAATTTTTATTCAAGTTTACTTACATAGTTACGTTACTGACGCAAGTGGCGTTAAACTATAAAAGAAAGAAGTGCAAAAGAGCTGAAAAGTCTGCGGGAATGCCGCATACGTGTTTTGACTAGTAAAAAGAGTCCGTGACACGTTTCTTGGGAGATCCCCGAGTTTATCAACGTGAGCGAATAGCAATAAATTACGGGAAATAGATGCGTCCTTCCCCGCTACCGCCTGCGCACTGTCCTATCATAATTCCGGAATATTATACATTTTAATATCGCATTCGGCGTAGTCACTACCAGAGATTGAATATAATGACGTGACCTCCATGTAATCGAAACAAAAATAAAGCCGCAATTAAATGAGGAAATTAGATTAATATTGTGCGATTATATATCAATATTACTTCTAATAAAATGACACATAAAACAGTGTGTCACTTTATTATAGTAGTTTAGAAATTACTATCAGTATTAATAAAAATTTTACGGGTATGACAAATATTATATTTAAAAGGTGGTTTTACTAATTTTAGAATTACTTTTTCACGCGTTACCATGTCTAACTGAAAAACAAAAAATTCTAAATATTCATTTTCATGTAAATATTAATATTCTTTAAAAGTATTTTCTTTAAAATCCCTCCAAAAACATTAATTAACAGTATACTTTATTATTTACTATAAGTAGTAAGAAAATGTCTTATTATTTTAGATAACCTCTTAAACGACTTCTTAAAGTACGAGTGATAACATATAATAGATAAGAAACGAAACTATAATGCACAGATGAGCTGTATCGTGCAAAAAAATACGTAATATCGTACAAAAAACCTTATACAAAAGCAGATAAATCAGACATTCAATTCACACGTAATGATATCTAGTATTTGATTACTGACTAGACTCAATTACTGATTAGATTCTTGAAATAAACACACATTCTTTCGGCCGGCAAATTTTAAATAGTTTGCAGAAGTGTGTGGTGCAGTAAGCCACGTAGTGATAAATAATGAAAAAGATATTTTAATTGCTATCTTATCGTGACAATTGATCTATAAAAGAGAAAGATTCAATTTTCAAGTGTGTAAAGTAGTAAAAAAAATTAAATTATTACACAGAGTGGTGTCCATGCAACGCTATGCCGAGCTCTATAGTACTTGTTCTGTTAAAGATAGAAAAAAATGGTAGAGAGAAAAGTAAAATGGCATAATATGAACAATTTTGTCTATTACTTACGACAAAAATGAGTTCATAGAATAATTTTTCATGTCATAAACTTTTAACTTTTTCCTTTACTATTTTTTTCTATCTTCAACAAAACAAATGCTAGAGCTCGGCCCAGTGAACCGTGGACCACCCTGTATGATAAACGATAAAAATACATTTACTTATTATTACACGGAAAAAATTCCATTTATAATTTTAAGGAAATATAAAACAATATAAAACTACGTAAGAATATAAATATAGGAATAACAAGAAATGTACAACGAAATATTCAACCAGTGTTTCAGAGAAGAAAAATAACAATTACATAATAATAGAATTTTAAGCTAGGCACGATGCGCTTAAAAGAAACCACAAAGAATGATTTAGCACGTCGTTTATCTTTATGCAATTCCCAGAGTTAAAGATCGTTCTCTTGAAGATTAAAATAGTGACAGAATATGAAAGAATTATATATCTGTAATTTCTCCATGGTGATAGTTTAAGCACGTAGCACGTAAATCGCTATAATGTTATCTCGTCCTGTTTCTAATGAATTTTCATGTCATCCGCAACACTTAGTACTTCGTTTAGTGCAATTTAATGGATTTAAATAATGGGAAATTGTGATAGTCGTGATTCACTTGCGGTAATCCCGCAACCAAGGAAAATTATGCTTGAAATGCGTCGGCAATAGATTTCTCAATCAATTTCCACGATCCCAATATTTCTGTTTTTAATCAAACATATTAAAAAATAATTAAGAGTATTCTAGTATAAATAAATTATTAATAATATTTCAACAGTAATATGCAATTTCTAGGAAACTTTGGCCTGTTCCGCTGATATGTACATAATTTATAAATACAAGTTTAGACACTATCTTTCAATAAATTATGACTAAACGCGTGAAACATGTATGGAGATGAGTCATTTGTGGTGAGAAAAGTACAAGTTTCAGAGATCTTATCAGTGCGTTACTGATACTTGAATACAACGCAATTCATTCATGTAACAGAAAGAGCATAATTATTTAACGGCTTGATGAAAAATTCATACTGTAACATGTAGATAGATAATATTATTCTACTATCTACATTAATAAATAATAATATATCGTAATGGCGATATATTTTTATTATGTTACATGAATTGATGCAATTGTCGCAATTGCTTCAATACGGAAATCACATATTTCCTGCTTTATTCCTTAAAACCTAATAATGTTCATGCAACGCTTGCTGTATGCGTCATACGCTTCACACATGCATGCTCTCTTGCTCCTATCATCCAAACTCTTGACGTGCAGGCTGACCAATTGTGTGAAAGAATCAGCTGCATGCATATTTGAGTGATGCCAGATTTGAGACGCAACAGCAAGCATCACTGCTCTAAACTGGTCCGAGGTCTCGCCGGCTCGGGAAAGGTGAATATTGCACCACCGAGTGGCGCGCATCCGTGGTATAGTGCTCGCGGTGTCTCGCGAGTGGATTTGAGAGTCATGGACAAATCTGTACGTTTCGTAGGAAATTAACGGGAACTCACTGGTGAGGGGGTCTCACGAATTATCCGGAGAACGGATCGGGACAGGTTGTGACAGGGTGTGGTGCGGTGATAAAGCGGAGCACTAATTCTGGGTCTTATCCCATCGCGATAAGCGAGTCTCGTGCACACGTTCACGCCCTGATCGTCACGAAAGGTGAACAAGTCTGAGCTCGTGGAGACAAAAAAGTAATCCTCGTTGCCTTCCAGTGGTTGCGGCGTAGTTTTGAGTACGTGTCTTCTGGTAGTTTGCATTATTTTATGGTAGTTGCGTGTGTGCAGTACTCTGCAAAGATAAACATAATTAAAGTCAGAATGATAATGATCACTCGGTGACGTCTCGCGTGTGAGTCATTAGGTCCGTTCTTCTCAGCTATGCTTTCTGCACTTTCTTTTTCTACCTTTCTCTTTCTTTGTCCAAATCCGTAATATATTCCTGCTTTATTTTAAGTGTAGAAAGTGTTGCTGGAGCGAACAGACGGCGCGTTTTAACGCAGGGCCCGATCAGGTCAGACGCTGGGTCGTTGCCATTATGCGATTGTGCTGTCAAAGTCTCTCCGACTGGCTTTGTGTGCAGTGAATAATTTTTTGAAACCATTTCTTGCGCTGGAATCACCTTTTAGATTGTACACCGAGTAATAGTTTTTCTGAAATAAATAAGATTAGTAGTGTTTTGTGGCGAAAAGTGTATGAATGTACATAACCTGTTGCAGCAAAATGTCAAACGTGGGTAATTTGGAGCAACAGATAGCGAGTTTGCAGATCAATCACGGCGATGAAGCGGCCAAGGTTATCAAACCCGGCAAGAAGGTCGGGCCAGCGGTGCCGCCAAAGCCAAAAAAGTCTCAACCTCAGGTGAATCATAAGCTTCTTGCTGTAATTTAATATCTACTTATTATTATACTAATAATAGTGTTTCTTTATTTCCATGCATCCTTCACTGCGGATGCGACAATGGTAATTAAATCAATTAATCGAACATACAAGGTGTCCTATTGTGACAAAATTTTATTCTATATTTTTTACTTATTTTTTCATGTGGAATCACCTTTTTCCAGTTGTATTAATTACAGGACACCCTGTATATGTCGTATGAATAGAAAATACATATATCAAATAGTGGACATACTTGTAAAATTCATGTAAATGATAAATCTGTTTCAGATACCGCAAAGTTACACCATAAAGGCTCCGCCTATGCCATCGTATAGCACAGTTCTCAATAACACGCCATCGAATGACAAGACTTCAAATTTATACATGAACACTCCTTCTCCATATGTGCCACTGGACATAAAGAATGATTTCTCTCAAATGGCGTCCACGAACGGCAAGGAAGCATCAAAGATTTATCAGAACGACACCATGTACGCGTGCCAGTCCGAAGAGAAGTTCGAGCCGAAATACAGATACGATGAGAAGAATTATTATTCCAACATCGGCAACATGCCGGCTCCTCAAGTACCCGTGGCGGACGATCGCGCGAGCCGCGCGACCAGAAACGCGGTGTACAGCAATATAGAGCCGCCCGTACCAATTCCGGTTCCTGCGTACAAATATGCGAATGACTCACAGAAGGATATTATATACAGCAACATCCAGTGGAATCCTAAAACAGAAAACACGTATTGCAATGTTCCTCCGGCGCACAGCGCTGGTAAGAATCTTGATGTTTCAATGAAAAGTCTAAATTAAATAAAAATCTAATGCAAATAATAATCTGAATTAATTAACAGCACATCTAAATCATTTTTATAAAGTAATTAAAAGATCGAGTCTCTTAAGAAATCTTTTGCAATATCTTTCGTAGTAAATTAATAATCTAGTCTTTCCGTTTGCGCACAGACGACTTGCCACCGCCACCGGAGCCCTCGGAGTATGTCTCTTGCGTACCTGGGAATTCGTTTCCACCGCCGCCCGAAGAGCTGCCTCCACCGCCGAGTCCGGTCTCGTCGAGTTACAGCGAGCTGAGACGCGCCACTTATCAGACCGATTTCCCATCGGGTAATTACCCCGCCGACATTTACGGGCCGAGTTCGCAGTCCAGCTCGACATACGAATCCATATACGAGCCGATTAATCCGAGACCACCGTCGCAATTGTCGTGTAACTATTCTATGTACTCTGGCTACGGGTCGGCCACATCTACTCAACCGCAGGGCAAAGTGTCTCCCGTTAAAGAAGTGAGTCTTGAAACTCCGCATCTTACACTCGCTAAATCTGTCAATGTTTTAAAATCACGGAAATAGAATCGACACGGTTCACTTTGAAACAATGATACAGAAGCTTCTTTGAAAAATCACACGTTACATTATATTGGCTCGGTTATTATAATATAAAATATTATTATCAAAGTTATCGAAAGTTATGATTTGATTTGATTATTTATAAAAAAAATACATTATCATTTGACTGGAATAAACCTTGCCAATTATTGATCGAGCAACTGTAGAGCAACGTGTATTGAAGATTAAGCGACTGATTTTACCTGCAGGTCGACGTCCTCACGGATCTGTTGGTTCAAGGAATGGCAGATAGTAACGAAGATAGCGATATATACGGCATCTGCGCGCAATGCGGACGCAAGGTCGAGGGAGAGGGAACTGGATGTTCGGCGATGGACAAGGTCTTTCACATAAATTGCTTCTGTTGCTTCGTGTGCAAGGTCAATTTGCAGGGCAAACCTTTCTACTCGCTGGAGGGCAAGCCCTACTGCGAGGAGGACTATCTTAACACTTTGGAAAAGTGCTGCGTTTGCACGAGACCGATACTGGACCGAATATTGCGTGCTACCGGCAAACCGTATCATCCTTCCTGTTTCACCTGCGTCGTTTGCGGACAGAGTCTGGATGGTATACCATTCACCGTGGACGCTACGAATCAGATACATTGCATTCAGTGTTTCCACAAGTAAGTTTTTTTTTACTTTTTTCCGAATATTTTTGTCTTCGATTATTATATTACGCTTTTTTACTTACTTTTTTTTAACTTTTTATTTTTAATTTTTTGTTTAATCTTCTAGTTAACTAATTCGTGCTCTTGTGCAGGAAATTCGCGCCGCGCTGCTGCGTCTGTAAGCTGCCTATAATGCCCGAGCCTGGTCAGGACGAGACCGTGCGAGTAGTCGCGCTAGATCGTAGCTTCCACATTCAATGCTACAAGTGCGAGGATTGCGGACTGGTTTTGTCTTCCGATTCGGAGGGACGAGGCTGCTATCCTCTGGACGATCACGTACTGTGTAAAAGTTGCAATGCTACTCGCGTCCAAGCCTTAACGTCTCACATGACGACTGAATTATAAATTATACCGACGCGACAAATCTATGTAGTTCACGCTGAAAGCTCTGGAACACGAAAGAAATATTGAATAAGTATTGTTATAATCAACTAGCAACATAAGTACCGTTCGGCATGATATTATTAGATCTTTTTATACATACAGTTTTTTCCACATTCCTGTTTGTTACTCGTGGTGTTTCAGGTTCTCGTATACTTCGAAAGAATATTTGATAACATCTATCGTAACAGCGAAGCATCAGTTTTTTACTACATCATAGTTATTATAAACTATGGAATACTGTCCACGATTTTAGATTCTTTTACAATTTCACATGAAGAGAAGAAAAACGATTGTTAAAGACTTTATATTCGATTTAAGGATAACGGTGTAAGATTTGATGCGCTAAAATTCCGCACTGCCATAATCGAAGCATTTCTAGTATTTTACGAATGTAATATTGACGAATTAGAAGTAATTGTAGATTTATTTCAATGCCCGAATAATTTTCCCGCAGATGTGATTATCATTGTGATTCTAGTAAAGTATTCGATATACCGTGAAGTATTTAACGTGTAGTTTGTCGTTGACAGAAATAGCGCTTCGACTCATATATTTAGAGATAGATTCGCAGATTCGCGGAGTAGCGTTGTACTACGGACAATATCGATATATCGGCGAGGAACCGTGCCATTTCCTTTTTTCCTTCAATGTAGTTGTTAAAAAAACCGACTCTTTCGTAAGATTACAAAAAAAAAGAAAGAGAAAGAAAAACAAAAACACTTAATCGTGCGTCCTAAATGCGATGTAATTAGGCCCCGGAAACTTTCACGCATGGGTAAAGCATTACATCGAGAAGAGACTTGTATGATCTCTGTATTATAGTATCAATAAAAATACAGTTTGTTATTTATGGCCAAGAAAAAAAAAAGAAAGAGTAACATTTCGTTTCAGCCGACCGTTTCTTGCTTGTCTGGTTATTTCATCGCGCGTGCAGATTTGCAATCTGCACTTTCGCCTGCACCTATCGAGTGAACACAATCTATGATCGAGCTTTGCATGTTTCACTATTTCAATGAGACCTGCTGTGTATCGTTTTACCGTTATTACTATTGTGTGATTGTTGTTAATAGGTATACGCGGCGACCCAAGCTATCGTACTTCCTCTTAGTTACAGATTTTCTGAGAAATTCGGAACTGCAATTTTTCTTCGTTTCAGCAGACGTTCGATTGAGCGCGCAATTTCTTTGCAATAATTTTCAACATATAACATTATCTCTTCCTGTCTTGCAAGAACCATTTGAAATTAAACGGTAAGTGAGATCCGTGTGCTTTCCTGACAATAGAATCGCTTCGATAACTTTGATACTTGGCATTCTTGCGATCAAAAACGATCTCGAATTCGTGAGACGAACTGTAACCCAGATGAAGTCCGCGATTATGCAACCTGTATACATGTGATGTGCGTACATATATGTATATTCACACACATGTACACACATCAGATGCGCATACATATATGTTATTATCGTATTGTTGTTGTTATCGTTATTATTATATAATTGCAGAAGAAATTTACAGCAGATTTGTTATATATCATCCCTTTACTAATTTTTCTCTAGCTATGGTTTCCATGCACAGATGTTTGTCTTTTATTATTAATTATTATTAACATTTCGTTTTAGATACTTGCATCTCTTTTTTTTTATGCGTAACATACTTTTTTTTTATTACCATAGAGTACTTAAATCTTATATAACTTTTTGTGATATATAACCTGTATGCCATTTTGTGTATAATTTATGTTTATTAATACATAAATTTGTTTCACCTGCACGCTTCATGGATCGTGGAATGCGTCCCATTATGTTTCTTCTCGGAGGAATGGATGAATCGATTTCTAACAGGGCGGTCAGCAAGTAACAATATTCCACGATGGATACATTATATACAAACTACCTATCGGCGAACTACGCGAATCTGAGAAATAATTATCATTTGTCAAATAAACTTGCATGCGCGTAAACGAGCATCTCGCCATTTATATTATCCGCGATGCGACAAACGTAATAAATGTAACAAATGTATTATCAACTATTTGATGTATCCAATGTGCAATTAATCTTACCACGTACATGCGGGGAGCGTCTCGCGCTTAATTAATAAGTGCTAAATACCTGTATTAAGTATAGTCGCAGTTATTCTTCACGAAGTAACAACGTAACCTCTCTTCGAGAGACGCAATAACGTTTCGGATACTTAATACAGATTGTCTCGAAAGCCTACATTCCTCGATCTCGCTCTCCCCCCGCATCGAGCATCGCAGATGCACGGGATTTTCAGGACATTCCACGATCCGAAATGCTGCGTATAATACATTCGTAGATCCTATACTTTTTTTTGCTACACATAGCTCTGGTGTCTATCTCTTAGACTCCTTTTTTTTATCCTCTTTAGATTAAAACTATAATGTATTTTTTTTTGTGTAGTATATATATTATCCTTTATATCTTTTATTATATTCGACCAAAGTTAGCACCATTCTACGTTAAATTTAGTACACGGCTCTCTTAATACTCGTTTAATCTAACAACATTCGTTCGATTTTATTAGCTTTGTTGTACCAAAGTCAACATAGAATTGCACTTTTCTTTTTAACAATCTATCGCTCTTGCTTTTTATATAGATACACGTATAATATGTATAGTATATATATATGAAATATGCGTGTGTCTGTGTGTGAGTAGATACACGAGTCACACGTATGCTTACATATAAATCTGTACTTGCACGCAATAAATCACAGCCACCTATCCAGATTCGCGCGCGAGCACAAAATACACACTAAGTAAACGCGTATTCTCTTTCGCATTCGCATCCTAGATATCTTCGGTATATGTTGCATCGTCGCATCCGTTATATATATATATATATGTGTGTATGTATATTGTTATACGATACGTATACGTATACGTGTGTATGCGTATAAATAAATATATACCCAATGGATACATACGCATATATATATATATATATATTTACATATGTAAGAATGCTTCCTTCGTTCCGCCTATACGTAGTACTAGGTGCCGAAATAAGCTGCGCTTTTTCTCTCTCTCTCTCCCTCTCTCTCACCCCCTATTTTTCCTCTCTCTACTTATGATACACATTCATTCGACTCACACTCACTTACAATGTCTCACTCGTTCCTCTTTTTTCCCCTCCTTAATATCTTTCTTATTAATATGACAACGCCGGTCATCGCGCGGACTTTGCTGCTCCAAACGTTCTCGCTCGCACTCTCGCTTTCGCCGGATCTCTTACAGCATCACACTCTCACACTTCCGAATTCGCTGGGTACTGTTGGGCATATTAGCATCACTTATGCCCATAAATCAATAAATAAATAGAGGAACAACATTCTTCAAACATCTCTTTTTTTTTTCTTATAACAACATTAGAGGCTCTCGGAACGTAACGCAACAAATGTTCAACAATACAATCACGAAAACAAATAGAAGGCACTCTTGCTTTTTTCAATAAATTAATTTCTTTGTGTTAACAACTCACTCAGATATTCTTCCCACGCCTTCGCCTAGGCCTTGTCTTGTCGCGTCCGTGTCTAGCTACGTGCCGGGCACGACGTATCGGGTGTCGTCCAAAAAATCCTCCCAGGTAACACACGCGCCGCGACATTTACATGACGGCGCCGCAAACCTCATCTTTGTCTTCCTTTTTCTCTCTCTCTTTCAAATGGACAATCATAGCTACGGTATGCGAGATACAAGATAACAAATTTATTTCACATTTACAGGTAAAAGAAATTCACCTTCGTAACAATTAGGTAGAATATTATTTAACCTTTAATATTATAATAATTTAATTATTGTTATTTGCTTGGAAGCTCACAGCCGACACATTTTTTTAATTCATTATTATTATTTTTCTCTTCTTTTAATATCTTACCTTATTTTCATTTGGGTACGGGGCGTTTCATCTTTTCGTACTTGGGTCACGGTCTTTATTTTTTTTTTGTGTGTATTTCTCTCGATATTTAACAGCTACAACACGTACAACGTTTAGCGCGGAAATTTATCAACGGAAGAAACAACGAATCCAAGTTATTATTGATCCGCTCTACGCTTTCAAAAGACGCGATGAAATGTATATTCACGGTTACTCTAACGAGAAAGACAAACTATAAGTACCGGGTGTGTTTCTCCCCGTGTTTGCTTTTTTACGGGGGTGGAAAAAGAAAAATCATGGAGATGTGGCAGTGCCTTGAGCAACCGTTTGTGAAATCAACCCTATCTCGCCTCCCTGTTACCCTTCCGCTTATTTTCTCTCTCTTTTGTTTTTTTTTTTTTTTTT